CACTCTAAATCATCAAGCTAAACCATCCAAACAGCATTTAGATTCTGTCTTGCCTTTGTAGTGAATCTTAAGAAAAGGAAAAACAATCAGGGGAAAAATGACATTTAGATGGGCAGTTCTTATGAAACACCTCAAAGAGCCAATGGAACTGACGCACAGCATCTGCAGTACCTTGAAACCAATTCTTGCCTTCTACACCTGGAGTTTGAGTAGCAGCAAGAACCTAAAAACAGAACAAGCATCCTTAGAAGCCTAACATCATATAAAAATGAATGTATCCTAAACAACAAAAATACATCCCAAAGGATGATATATACCTCGACAAAGCCATCTCCAAAGGTGACTCCATTGCCAGAGCTGTAAGCACGGGCAATGTGCCTGTTCAGTTCAATGATTGTGAATTGAACTGAGTCAGAATGTACACTTTGTTGATCCCACTATTAATACAATTGCTCATTGGTACATCAATCAGCCTGTATGAACCTCCAATAGGAACCTATCACGGCGCCACAAACACATAATGACTATTCATAATCTAATGGATATGCCAATGCACTCATGATGCTATGGGATCAATCAAAATACCCCCTACGTCCTAAATATAGGAGCTAATTAGGAGATCTACTTTGATCGTAAATATAAAAGCTCAATCCATTTTGTCTCCAAAATATATAACTTTTTCTTCAAACCATTCGTATTGAATGCACATATTAAGCAATTTCCATCAATACATACGATAGCTAAAGAGAGTATTTCAAAAAAATAAACACACATTTCTTTTAACAAATAACCAACTCAACAAATTTTCTTGATATCCGCAAATTAGTTATTTAGGTCAACCAGAGGAAGTAAAAGAGAAGAATATAACATACAGACTTACGGCAGGTTTGGCACGGCGCTTAGTGAGAGGAAAGAGACGAGTGCCAGCTCCTCCACCAAGTATGACTGCCACAACCGTTCTTGAGTCCTTCATTTCCGTTCCCAAGTCCCTCAACTACATCACTCCATTTGCCAATTCATCAAAACCCAATACTTTTTGAAACGTGTTTAGAGTTTTTGGGCTCAACTTAACCACACCATTCATTATCTCTATCCACAGATTCAAATCAGCATCAACAATACAAGTTTTAACGTCAATGCAGACATAAAACGTAAGATTGTAATGAGGTAAGACCCATTTATCAAAGTTGCTATCTTGTCACATAAAAATCCAAACTTTGTGCACATAACATACTTTTCAAGTTTGATTTACGTTCTTGAACAAATTTAGTGAGGTAGCTAACCTTGGATTCGGTGGTCACATCAGCAGTTAGCGACAAGCTGATGTGTGTCCTCCTATTTGAGCACCCATCTCCTTTTTGCTGTGCTTGGGCTGGCTTCAGCTTCATTTTCAGTTTCCGACTCATGAAGTCCCCATTAGTAAACTTAAGAAGTCCCCAATTCCCATCAACCAATCCTGTTGCTCCACGTAATTGGGCGGGACATGAGAGAGATAACCGGCCGTCCGCCGAGACAACCATATTTTTCGGTGAATCTGCGCGAGTAACTGTTCTGCCTGACGTGAAGCGGAGAGGAATGATCTGTGCTTACATGGACGGCAGGTTATTGGAGGATTGTGCCACGTTATCCATATCGAATAGTGTCCACCAATTAGATGGGCGATTTGAGGAAGGAAAACGACAAGTTACTCCCGGTGTGCACTCGCTTGATATTGCGTGGAGCCATTTTGGCATCTTTGGACTAGAATGAGAATATACTGAATATTACGGAATATCAGGCGGAAAATATAGATACACACAGACGATAAAAGAAAAATACGGCGTTTGAAAGCTGAAAAGCATGTAGAACTTGCGTTTTTAAACAGGAAAAATTACACATAGGTCCCACAAGACAATTAATTCATAAAAAATCTCTAAAAATTCCAAAATAATTCATAAATCCCAGGGATCTGTTTGTAATAAATTGAAATTATGGAATTACTTATTTACTCCCATTAATTTTATTGCAATAATTTATTTACAACCTCAACAATGACTGTTGACAACCCGAAAAGAAATAGTTAACAACCTCGACAGTGCCCCTGACAACTCACTTGTGGGATACAGGGGCACTGTCGAGGTTGTTAACCATTTCTCCTCATGTTGTCAACAACTACTGTTGAGGTTGTAAATAATGGGGTAAATAGGTAATTTCACAATTATAATTTATTACACACAAGTCCCTGGAAACTTGGGAGTTATTTTGGGATTTTAAGGGACTTTTTGTGAATTAATTGTTTTGTATGGGATCTGAGTGTAATTTTTCCTTTTAAACATGGCTTAGGGGGATATTGGGAAGAGTGACTTTAAAAAAGTTGGTTTCATATAAGTAATAATTTCTCCCACGTACTTATCTCAATCCGCATAAGATCACCTCTAAAAAGTTAATCAAAACCTCTCTTGATTGATCAATATTGTTCCCATCACCCTGAGTCCCCTTTTACCTTTCCGTTGCATGTCATTCAAAAACTAACGGCGGCGGCGAATCACAGGGGACCATAATGATGGAGTTATGACGACGGAAAATGATGGCGAAGGAGCTTACATTGTCTTGAAGCTGACATGTTATGCCTCTTTAATTCCACCATTTTTTAATGGCGGGGCAGGAGGTGATTCATAAAAGTTGTCTTCTTGGGGTCATGGTTCAATGACACAAGTCCATAGATCAAGTTCATGTGATTGATTTGGTGGATCAATGGATCGTGAGATCCATTAATACGTTATTTTATAGTCAAGTCTACTGATCCAGTACTGGAATTCTCTTTTTTTTTTTTTTTTGATGCGCTAATAACTTAACATTCTAAATTTTTCCGTCATGTATATTTTTTCCATGGCTCCCTCCATCACCCAAAAGTATAGTAAAAAATAATCCCTCCGGTTTAAAATATAAGTTAAATTTTATTTATTACGTTTATCAAAAAACTAATTAAAATCAATTTAAAACAATAAATGTGTAAGGCATATATTTGTTTTTCTAAATATATCCTTATTAATGAAGAGAATAAGTAAAAGATGTAATAAATAAATTAAAAAAGAAAAAGAATATATGAGGGTAAAATTAGAAAAAACTCATTAAATGCTTGGACAAAAGTGAATATTATCTTATAAAAAAAACCAACCTCTTTAAAAAGGTTTAGCTTATATTTTAAAGTGGAGGGAATAGCTTAATGGACATATTTTGATAAGTTAGTGATGAAGTCAAAATTACTCCTAAAAATTATTTTAAGGATAAAATTTCTTGTGAAAAATTGAGCACTTTACGAATAAAATTGCATCATAGAATATTTTAAGATTTTGAATACGCTTAAAAATATATTTCACACTGATCCTTTATTTTATAATCAAAATGTCTTCTTATCTATCACTTTGGAAAACAAAACTTTTTTTTTTGACTCACTTTGGAAAGCAAAACTTAAGACAAATGTTATCCAAACAATTAAGGGCTTGTTTGGATTTGCCAATGGTAAAAGTACACGGAAAAACGTGAAACTGAGGTTTGTGGCTTATTGTAGCTCAGAAGATTGTTTGGGCGGGGTTTCTTTTCTAACTGACTTATAGAAAAAAGTAACTTTTCTAACTGACTTATCCAACTCAATCTGGATTAACTTTTCTAACTGACTTATAGGAAAATCATGCAAAGCTTACAATCTAATTAGTTATGTGATCCCATTTACTTTAATTAGAGACTAAATAAATTTTAATTTATATTCATGTTTGTCCATTATGTATATTTAATTAATTATCTACAATGTATTTTCAAATTTTTCTTCGTAACAAATATTTTTATTCTATAATTTCACAAATAAACTATTTATATTTTATCATAATAATTTTATGTGTTTTTTAAACTATTATCACATTAAAAATATAAAATTTCAAAAACTACTCCATGCCATTTTCAGTCATTTTACAACTAAACTAACTTTTCTATTAATCATCCAAACAACTTTTAACTTTTTCAACTGACTTTTTAAAAACACCTATCCAAATATAAATTGCATTGCACTAACTGATTTTTACTCTAATTTCAGTTACAAAAGTCAGTTGGATTAGAAGTCAGTTTTACCCAACGCCAATTCAAACATACCCTAACACTTCAGGATTCACGTACACCTTTTTTATGTGAGATTTGGAGGTTCAAAAGAAAAATTAAATTTGAATCTGAACAACCATGGTGAATTGGTGATCACGTATTCACGTTAGTAGTTTACTTTCTTTTTTTTTTTTATTAAACTGCTAGCTTCTGTCTTTAATATGAGATTTTGTTTGATTTTGATTTTAGTTTTAAATATAAGACGTCAATCCACTTTATCTCTCATATTTATTTATTTTTTCCTAATATAATTCTTCTAACAATGGTAGTTCTAACCAATATATTTGATTAACAAGGATATTTTAAAAAAGATAACACCTATTTATTACAAATAACTAATTTAATTTTTTTTAATCTTTTTAAATTAGTTAACTAGCTTTTATAATTAGGATTGGAAGTAGTATTTTTTTAGCCACCGACAGGCATGGATTCGTAATCATGAAAATAACGGCCGTTTTCTGGGAGAAAACATGGAGACAATAATAGGCATGTGAAAGAAGGAAGTGGAAACACGGGTGAAACGCTGTCGTCTGACTGTTGGGACGTCGTCGTCGACTCGGTACCAGCCAGCCTTGCTTCAGTTTAAAGAAACAGAACGACCGCCAACCCATTAGTACTCGCCGACGCCTTTACTCAAAGCCCGAGTCAGTCTTTTGTCTGCCATTAACATTTCTACTTCTCATGGCTTTCTCCAAGTTTTCTCTGTTTCTCTCGCTTCTTCTTTCTTCCATTCTCTTCCTCGGTCATCCTGTTCTGAGCGACGATGGTGAGTTTCCACTCTCTTAATTTCGTTTTTATGTCTAGTCATCTGAACAGTGACACTCATTTGAGCATTAAAGTTTTCGACTTGCTGCTGCTACGTCATTCATTTTATATGTTTTATTTAGTTCAACTTTAGTCTTTGCGAACTGGATCTGAAGTCACTGATCTAGGATTGCTGAGTTAGCGGGGGTAAGATACAAAATCAGAGAAGAGAATTAATATGAACGAGTTCAAGCCTCGATTCATTAGGCTGGCCCCTGTATGCTGTGTTTACAATGAGATATGGGTACACAATCTAAAATCTATCTGTATAAAATTATTTCCTAACAGCGTATAGTTTTGATTTTTTTTTTTTTAAGGGGTTGCTGATCTGGTAGACTTGTTCATTGATTTGATGCTGCTTTTTTCTGGCACTTGGAAAATGTGCTTGATTTTAGCATATACAGCATCGGGTTATAGAGAGAACTAAGGTTGAGTTTTGGATGAATGATAATTATCCATTGATGATTGAACGCATTTTTTCTGTTTTCAATGTATTTGCATCTTTGTCCAAAATTTCAAGAAACGATTTTTAAATGGTGATGAGATTAGGCCTCAGGGGATCTGTAAAATGGAAACAGAACTCTTGCAGACTGGAATTTTTTTCTAAGTAATGCTGATTTCTTGATGTAATTTAGCCAAGCTTATAAGCTACTTGAAACTTTGGTTTAGATTGTTGTAACACTTTCTTATCCAATAACCTACCAGACACACGTAGAGAGAATCTAATAATTTAAGCAATGGATTGACAAAAAGAAAGTGATTCAAGTTACGGAGACTATTAGAGCTTCCAAGTCTCTCCAGTTTAGTGGTTCGTCGTCATTGTGTCTTCACTTTCAGTGGTCTTATGTTGTAAGCATGTAATACCAATCTTTGGATTCTTGGGATGCATCACTTGGGGAATAAGTTTTTACGTAAGAGAAGCAATTAAAACAGATATAACCAGCTGATTTTTCTCAAACCAAACATAATAGTCAGGATTAGGTAAACCAGTGGGTAACATGGGAGAAGGTGCGGCAATTGTGCCATCTATGTGGCCGAACAGATGCTGACCATAGAGATAGGGTAGCGTCTGAGCATGCCAGATTAAGTAGTTGTCATTAGTGAGTTTTACTGTAATGAAATGGGGAATGTTGGAAGGGGTATAGGAAGACAAACTTGTGTATGATGATGAAGGTGCAAGAACACCAACATCTGTGGAAGATTGTTCTGCCATCCTGACACTATACAATCAGCGGCTGCTCTGATACCATAGTGAATCATATGCAGAATATAAAAATGCATAAAGCAAAAGGTAATCTGTTATTACATTTCATTGAATCAATTTAATAATTGTTGGGTATTTATGGGACACCTCGGAGTTCAATAGCAGGACACGTACACTAACAACCAAATATTCTTGAGCATAAATTAGCGATTTGTCCCGTGTGATTTTTCAAGCTGTTCTTTTGCTGACGTGTTGGGGGAAGAGGGAATTGTATTCTGGTTAATAGTTTGGCTCTAGTTTAGCAAGTGCTTTGCTGAGTAAACTTTGGAAACTTTAGAAGTGTAGTTGCTTGTCTCAGTCTTATTCGTTCTTCCTCATTTTAATCACCTTATTTTTAGGATTCCCTTCAACCTGTTGAAAGATAAAATCCTTGTCTTCTTCTGTAGATGAGAATTTTACAAGCACCTTGGAACTGAATCTTCATTCCAATACCTAGAGTCACTTGTACTTGCTCAAACTAAAACGTTTACTATCCTTTCCTGGTAGGTGGACAAGATATATGTCACCAGGCTTCCCAACCCTGTTAGAAATTGATGTAACTTATCTGACATAAACATACTGCCCGGAATATATTGATCCTCTGCTCAGCCTGGCATGTTTCTTCTTTCAATACTTGTCTGCATATATAGCAATAGCACCATCACCATATAGCGAAAAATAGAAATATATAACAATAGCACCATGTACCTTGAAAATCATTATTTCACAGTCATCCATACTCAATAAAGTTGGTATCATGGGACTGAACGAACTTAATTTTTGCCGGCAGAAGAAGACAAGCTTTATCAGGGAATCAACGAGTATCGGAAGACCCTAAAGTTGACAACACTAACCAAAAATGACAATGCTGAGTGCCTTGCTGATGAACTAGCTGACCAGTTTAAGAATCAGCCCTGTACGAACGCCACAGGTGCCAACACAGTACCAGGAACTGAGCCCCAGTTTCCCAATTATCCAAACCTTTTGGCTAAATGTCACTTGAATGTTTCCAACACAAGGGATGGAGCTGTGATGCCTGCCTGCGTTCCTGGCCTGGATCCGAGCCTTGTCCTCCCAAATTTCACAAAGTCGCTCTACTCCCAAAATCTCAATGACACAAAGTATACCGGAATTGGTATTGGCTCTGATAATGACTGGATTGTTGTTGTGCTGACCACTAGCACTGCAGAGGGAAGCTATGCGCGGGCTACTTCTAATGGTGCTGATATGATTTCCAAGACCGGTTTAATGTACTGTTCAATGCTTTTGCTGGCACTTGGCAACATTTTCATGCTGTGAATGTAGAAGATTACTACTAGCAAGAGAGGGTCTTCCTTTTTTACAGACTACGAAGAAGACAAATGTTTTTTGAAGAGATAAAGAAATCCCTTTGTAACTGCTGTTTCGGTATTGATTGATTGCGGAATGATACAGAAGACAAATACAAGAAAAAAACTAATTCATTCCCATGGTTGTTAAATCTTATTGTCGTCGTCATCAACATTCTTGAGGGTATAGTGTGGAATTCCAAATGTCATGTGAACTGGAAGCAATAAATTTTATTTGTGGCCACTTCGGGTATTTAGTTTCCTTATGTAATTTCTGATGCTTAGCCTGAGGTGGAGTTTAGTCTCATAAAGCAGTAAGTAAACATTGTTTCTGAAAAACAAATCAACTCAAGTGAATAAAATTAGAAAAGCAAGAGAAGATGGTTAGTTGACTTCTGAATTCAGTGGATTTGAAGAGCTGTGACGTCTAGATTCTAATGTCTTCACGCAACTTAATATCTTTATTCAAGAGTTTTAGAATCAGAAATTAGAAATAATCATATTTTTGGGGAACATAGTGTTGTGAAATAATGCAATATGTGTGTCAAATAAAGTCCCACATGGGAAAGATGAGAAGAAGTCTAAGTGTATAAATGAGATCAAGCATCCTTGGGGGGTAAATGGGCCAAGAAGGAAGTGGGTCTCGTGTACACAACAACAAGTCACTAGGAGGGAAACGCAGTTGTAAACTGGCGATTTCTCCCCTTGCGCGTGAATTAAACGCGGCAAAGCCTCATTTTACGAAAATTATTTTAAACTTTGTTGAATATTTTTTTTTAATAAAATTATGCTTACCAGAAAAGCCTTATTTTGGACCTGTTAAAAGTCAAGAGGCTTGCCGTATCATTTTGTGGCCGACCGGACGCGTCTCGCGGGGTGTAGACGAACGTTGTGTGCACCAACGTTCGTGTTGTTCCGTCTCCAACGGAACCTTGCGTTGCTTCGGTCGTACCCGCTCGGCGAAACAGAGGGATGCGTCCTCCGGTGATGTGGCCATTCGCGCCTATATAAGGGACTGTCTAGACAGCGTGAAAAACACACTGTTCCATCCTCTTCCTCTTCTCTCCCGCTATGTTTCCTGTTACAATTGCTTTCGCTTTTCTGCTGCCTTGCTTCGCAGGAAGGGTTCGTTTGATCCTGGGGAGTGCCGCTGCCTGTTACACCGAGGGGTTGCGGAATATCTCTGAAGGACAGTGTCCTTGTGATGCGACTCGAACCGGATTTGCTGTTCCTTCTTTGCTGCCACCAACACATAGCAATTAAAACTGTCATGTTGAGATGACAGCATGATGGACTAGGTATGGAAAGCTGCACTGAAGCAGAAGGAAATGTGGCGTTGGACTTGGGTACCAAGCTCCATCATATTTGTTGTGAAGCTAACAAATTTAACGGCAGGAATCACACTGTTTCCCTTTTAACACTTCTAAGGTAATATTAAGTAAAAAAAAAAAAAAATTTCATATACGTACAGCTCCTTCATGAATACTTACAAAACAAAAATAAGCCTTAATCTTGTATTAATTCATTGGCAAGCCGAAAAAATGTCTGCAATATTCCAAGGCCAACTTTGCATTTTTGTTGACCCTCCGTCTCGTTGTACCTGGTTGATTAAAGTGCAATGTTGGCCTTCTCTCATCCAAACCAAAAACAAAAAAAAACAAAAGAAAAAACAGAGCACTTTGGGCCTCATTGACAGAAGCCGGGAAGGTTCTAGTTCTTTAAGCAAGTATACATATTTTCGGCATGATAACATCATGTTTAAAACACAAAGGACACAAGGGAATCCTACGAACAATTGAATTCAAATTTGGAAGCTGCAATGCAATTGATTGAAGGCCCCTTCATGCATTCTCACCAGGTGTTACACTACTTATGTAAATCTTACATAAAAATAATCTTGTCGTGCAAATATCAGTGGAACAAGATTATAAAAGGAAACGATTCATGGGGCTAATGAAGGAACAAAATATCTGTCTGTCATGTTTCTTGCAGATTATTACCACTAATGTTTGTCTGTGTTTCCCAAATCTAACACAAATTTTGACCATTGGACCCATCTTGCCTTGATACTTAATGATGCAAGATCATGGATGAATTTCCCTTAAAGTGCCTTTTATTCATTCACATCTAATGAAGGCAATCTATTAGGATGTTGTTATTATTTTCTAGCAAAATCATAAATGATGTTTTTTATGCTGTTGAATAGATCTGTGGTGAAAAAAAACAGCTTTTACTTTGCTAAGTTAGCTCATAGTATGAGATCAAATTTTTGTATCTTTAATCAACCACCACCAGTATCTCAGGATATTAAGGTAGGGATTGATGAAAGGTCTTGACTCGGATTTTCTCTTTTGTACATATTTTGACTTTTGAATGATTATAGTACTATTCAATAAAAGAAAATAACAGCTTTGAAGCATTACTATTTTTTAACAGACAATCTAAATTACTTTAAAAGTGTTGTTATACCGTAAAAACAACAGCTTTTACCTTGTTAAGTTAGCTCATAGAATGGGGTCAAATTTTTGCATCTTTAATCAACCACCACCAGTACCTTAGGATATAGAGGCGGAAATTGATGAAAGATCTTGACTCTCATTTTCTCTTTTGTGCATATCCTGACCTTTGAATAATTACAGTACTATTAAAAAAAAGAAAATAATAGCTTTGAAGCATTACTATTTTTCAGTAGACAATCCCAGTTACTTTGAAATTGTTGTTATGTGATGAAAACAGCAGCTTTTACCTTGCTAAGTTAGCTCATAGTATGTAGTCAAATTTTTGCATCTTTGATCAACCATTATCAATACCTCAGGATATTGAGGTAGATATTCTTAAGATATTAGGATGGAGATTAATGAAAGATCTTGATGCTGATTTTCTTTTTTGTACATATCTAGTACTATTCAGAAAAAGAAAATAATAGCTTTGAAGTATTATTATTTTTCAGCAGACAATCTTGGTTACTTTAAAATTGTTGTTCAGGTCAAGGAAAAAATTGCCAAAAACAAAAATCTTAACTTTTTCCAGATTTCACATTGCAATCATAATGGGCTGCTTGATTTTTAAAAGTATAGTTTCTAGAGGAGCCCAAAACAGTATTTGATGGAAAAAGGGAGGAGGGGATGAATACAAACACAGAATCATAAGGACCAAACTAAAGTGAACATGAAAAGATGTTTTTGCGGTGGGTAGCGTTATCAACTTGGAAATCTCTCTCTCTCTCTCTCTCTCTCTCTCTCACTCATATATATATATATATATATATATATTTCAGAGTGAAGAGAACCTCTTGACATGAAAGACCCAGATTCTGGAAAGGCATGATGAAAAAGATGCATGCAAATATCATTTCACAGAGAGCAGGATCAAAATGAAACGATATGAAAAAGATCTCACTTTCTCTTTGGGAGATCACAAGAATCCAAAAACATAGTGGTCAATCCCAAAAGCTTCACCTATATAATATACCCACTTTTCCACAGTTGCACTTTCACCCTCTGTTAAAAACATATTTGCAGTAAATCAGAATAAGTTCCAATTTTTACGAGTTTGAAACTCTTCAGAAAATGTAAATAACAGTGGCTTCTCACAGTCTAACACGAGTGATGGGGGAAAAAAGGGCGTGAGATTCACCTGATGACATGTGAGCCCGTACACAACTGCTGGAGAGATTTACCTTTATCAGTATATACATGTAAGATAACTAAACAAACAGATTTGATCAGGCGTCCAGATTTTTCATATTCACGAGAGTAACAGAAACCTCTTTGTATGCTCTTTTTGTACATTAAGAACATATTATAATGCCTGCAAGCCATTACTGGAATATATTTAGAGACACACACACACACACACACACACACATATATATATATAAAAGTTGGAGAAAACGCATCATATGAGCACAGTTGACACGAGTAACAGAATCAAAGAGCCGAGAGGGCGGTCCAGTTCTGGTACGTGGACCCATCAAAATCTCCTACACAAGCAGTACACACACACTTTTTGGTGACCTTCTAATATTTGGAATCATATATTAGACTTACATCAAGTACCTCATATTATCTAATCATATATTGTTACGTGTTATATTTCTGAAATATTATTGTTTCATTATAAATTCACATGAATAGAACAAAACACATGACCATGTTTGATTGGAAAACTTAGCATAATAGATATAATGAACTTAACTTGTGCATTTGGCTTAGGGTGTGTTTGGTATAAGGGATTTGGAAGGGAGGGGAGAGAGAAGGAAGGATTTTAATCATTTCCTCTTGTTTAGCAACACACAAATTTTAGGAGGAGAGGGAAAATTTTAAATTTAAAATTTTCCCTCTCCTCCCCTCCAAAATTAGGAGAATTTGGAGGGAAATGACAATATTTTACCATGTTATGACTATCATACCCATATTTTGCCATGTAATGACCATTATGCCCATATCTCAAATAAAATAAGGGCAAAATTGTCCATGTTAAAATATTTTTCCCTCCCGTCCCCTCATGAACCAAACAAGATAATATTAAAACTCCTCCCCTCTCCTCTTTTTTTGTAAATCCAAACAAAGTAATATTAAAATCATCCCACTCCCTTCTCCTCCCCTTCCCTTCATTAAAATCCCTCCCCTCCCCTTTCTCTTATTGAGCCAAACAAACTCTTAGACTTTGACTAAATAAAATTCAAGACAGGTCAAGTATTCTACCCGGGTTAACTCTTCTTAAAATGTCTTCTACATTCACAAGAATCCATGTTTAAATTGTCATAACCCTTTTTAATACATTAGTCTATATATATATATATATATATATATATATGGGGACATACCTTGGGTCAAGTTACTCATGTCTGTTAGGTTAAGTTCATAGGCGAATTTATAAATACATATATATATATATATACACACATTTTAATGGTTAACAAAATGACAAGTGTGAATCGAAAAATTTAACCTAATGATAGATAAAATAACTTGACCTAGATTTTGTCCTCCATATATATATATAGACAGAGACAGAGACTAGCCATAGTAATGGTGATGATACATACAAGCAGTAGTAGTGCACCGTCGGAGTCACTAGAAGCTCAATGCTTATCTATTTGGGTAGTGCATGACAGAGTAGATGGGCTCGGGAAACTTTTTCTTTTCGGCACTTTGAAACAACAAACAATACTTTAAAAGTCACTTTTGTTATGTTATATATATAAATATATATATTTTCTTGCGTTTTAAACATGGTGGAGATCAACAAACCATATTGCCCAATAATTTAAGGGCATTTGGGTTTT